AAATGCCTTGCGCCGGTTGTGTTTCGCGGGCCGGCGAACTATGCCGGAATTTCCTAACCGGTGTAACGCGAATGTCCCGCAAAAGGTGCCAGGGAATCTCGGCGGTTTCGCCGGGCAAATGCCCCGGGAGCACCTGCATCTATAAAATTGAGCCATGCATTATTCATGGGGTGGTGGCCTGCTTATAGCGCGAGCGCGAGCGCGCTTAGCTCAGCTGGTGTTTTGCAACGTCGGGAAAGAAACGGGCGGCCACCGCCTGAAATGGATAGCCAGATAAATTGATATGAACCTCGTCGTGATTGGTAGCCGCGTAAGGGTAATGGGATCGAGTGCGAACTAATAAACACTACTGAAACTGCGGAACGTTGCCGGTACTGGACAACCGAGTCCAACATCGGCGATGTGTCGATGGCGGAAGGTATCGGAGACACGAATCGAATGGTTCTCATGGTGTTCACCGAGGTACAGTAAATTATTTCTAATTGGCGATCAGATTGTACACGAAAACGGGCGATTTTGGAGAGAGGTGATACGATTATTCGAGCTTTGCAGCTCGCTTTTATGATCGTTGACAATCGGCGACTATAAAAACGAGCCCCGAGACCCGAATAATCGTGTCTCCTCTTCCCAAATTGTCCATTTTTGTGCACGATTGAGCGTCAATTATTCACTGTAGCAAGATGTAAATTGCAGGAGGTGAGAGGTCCTATGAACTGCCTTCGCTTGCAGTCACTGAATTTCTTTGAGCCCAGAGAATTACTAAGAGAACGATGGAGTTTTCAAATTTTTGTCTTTGATACAGAAGATCGTGAAACAAAGAAGAATCGGGATGTAAATTGCAGGGGATGAGAAAACTTATTTCTCTTCGCGTGGTCACCGAACTACCCTCCTCGGTTAAATTCTCCTCACATTTCTGAACGTCCAAGAATTGCAGCTTTAAATTAATAAAATCATTTATAAATCGGTGAAAACAAATAAATGAAATTACATTTCTAACTCTGTGAAGAACATAAAATATCCTAGCTTTGCTCGAAAGATAAAAGGCGCGTGATGTTCTAAATATTGAAAGTGGCGAATTAGCAGGGAAAACATTTTAATCAAGGGCGACGGTGAATTACGTTGAACTCTAAAAATTACGCAAAGAACAATAGAGTTTTCAAATTCTCTTTGACACGCAAGTTCGCAGAGGGTGAGAAATCCTTTCAACGTTCCTCGCGCATGGTCACTGAATTTCTTCGAGCAGCGAAGAGTTGCGAAAAGAACAATGGAGTCCTCAAATTTTTCTCTTTGATACGGAAGATTGGAGGACGGAGGAGAAGACAGGGGCATAGATCGCAGGNACCGCCTGAAATGGATAGCCAGATAAATTGATATGAACCTCGTCGTGATTGGTAGCCGCGTAAGGGTAATGGGATCGAGTGCGAACTAATAAACACTACTGAAACTGCGGAACGTTGCCGGTACTGGACAACCGAGTCCAACATCGGCGATGTGTCGATGGCGGAAGGTATCGGAGACACGAATCGAATGGTTCTCATGGTGTTCACCGAGGTACAGTAAATTATTTCTAATTGGCGATCAGATTGTACACGAAAACGGGCGATTTTGGAGAGAGGTGATACGATTATTCGAGCTTTGCAGCTCGCTTTTATGATCGTTGACAATCGGCGACTATAAAAACGAGCCCCGAGACCCGAATAATCGTGTCTCCTCTTCCCAAATTGTCCATTTTTGTGCACGATTGAGCGTCAATTATTCACTGTAGCAAGATGTAAATTGCAGGAGGTGAGAGGTCCTATGAACTGCCTTCGCTTGCAGTCACTGAATTTCTTTGAGCCCAGAGAATTACTAAGAGAACGATGGAGTTTTCAAATTTTTGTCTTTGATACAGAAGATCGTGAAACAAAGAAGAATCGGGATGTAAATTGCAGGGGATGAGAAAACTTATTTCTCTTCGCGTGGTCACCGAACTACCCTCCTCGGTTAAATTCTCCTCACATTTCTGAACGTCCAAGAATTGCAGCTTTAAATTAATAAAATCATTTATAAATCGGTGAAAACAAATAAATGAAATTACATTTCTAACTCTGTGAAGAACATAAAATATCCTAGCTTTGCTCGAAAGATAAAAGGCGCGTGATGTTCTAAATATTGAAAGTGGCGAATTAGCAGGGAAAACATTTTAATCAAGGGCGACGGTGAATTACGTTGAACTCTAAAAATTACGCAAAGAACAATAGAGTTTTCAAATTCTCTTTGACACGCAAGTTCGCAGAGGGTGAGAAATCCTTTCAACGTTCCTCGCGCATGGTCACTGAATTTCTTCGAGCAGCGAAGAGTTGCGAAAAGAACAATGGAGTCCTCAAATTTTTCTCTTTGATACGGAAGATTGGAGGACGGAGGAGAAGACAGGGGCATAGATCGCAGGGGTTGATAAATTCTCCGGGCGGAATTTTACGGCGAATGACATTGAAAACTCTGCGCGAACTTTAAGTATGAAAAGAGAAAACGCAAATTGATTTTCTGGGTTTACGTTTTCGACACAGAGGATTACATAGGTGGGAAGGATCGATAGGGTGTTCCGGGTGCCACGAGGGCACGCATTGTTCGACGACGGGCCGAGAAAAGACGTCATCGTGCCGACATCTGTGAGCGGATTCATGCACTCGATCCTCTTTCTTTGACTGGCAGCAAAGTGCTACGCACACGGGTCTTTTATCGGCGAATCGAGAGGCTCGTGCAGCTTCCGAGCCGAACCGAGAGATGGTCTTTAAAAGCCTTGTGCGATAAAAAAATATAAAAATAAATAATATTTCGAAAAATATAAAATAAACCATCGTATCGCAGTCTGCTGTTTCTCCCTACGCTCCGGACTCGAACGTCTACGATAGCGAAGAGAAATACGAGAAATATTTTAACTTACTTCGAGGGGAAGTTTCTTCGATCGGAGATAACAGATCCCGAGGCACTTAGAGCGATAGTAGAGACGAAAAGTAGAACTTCACGAGCCCGAAGTCACCGAACAACTGAAGGGTAATGCAAAAGAGCATCGAGCTTCGTCCTTGCGTTTCCCAGGGTTTCGAGACCGAGCAGGAAATAAGAGCATACGCAGCGGGGAGCTGGAACCTGTGCTCTTACCTAACCGGGCAACCTCGAGTCAAGGGGGCTGGCCATTATCACTTCGTTATTGCCGTCATAAATTCCCAACTCGTTACACCGGAATTACCCCTGCGATTCTTCGCAGCGGCGGTCAGAATTTCGGCGAACCTTTTCCGTCATCCCTTTGCGCTTCGGGAAGCAGGTGGTGCGTCGACAATTGCGTCCTGGACCGCGGCGATCGGAAGGATTTAGAGTCTACCTGAGCAGGATCTTCGACTGTTCCGTAAAATCAAAGCAATTTAGCCAACGAGACCGAAATTGAACAGCTGCGGAGACGACAGCTACGCGAATGCACCTTTCACCCATTCTCGGACCCCATAAATTCTAACGAAGCTCTAATTGTTACGTCAAGGTTACTTATCGCGTAAGATCTTACGATTTTCTAAACTACCGAAGATCTTTTGACTAAGCATGAAAATGTCACGTGACCACGACGATGTCGCGAAAATGGAAATGCGATCGTACACGGTCAGGGAACACGGAGAATTCTGTCAACCGAATGCACGGATGGATTTTCGTGGAGGTTTTTCAATGGTCGTAGGAGGAAAACCGAGCGGCCCGAACGTCGAATGGAAACAAGCAGCCATCATGGGAATAAAAGTGGATGAGCGGAGGCTCTGCCAAGCCGTGGAGCCAACTGAGCCACGGCGAGGCAACTTTTATGGGGGGGCTAGCGCGGTGTACGTGTGGTGAAACTACCGGGCTAAAAGGTCAGCGCAATAAATAACTCCGGACGTCGGTATACCTAGAAACTGGAGACATTATGCCAATCTTGGCTCGCGGACCGTACAAATGTGGTCTAGTTTTACCTACTGTTGCATAAATCTGAAAGCGGCCGGCCGCTACCTGGCGTCCTCTCTAGAAAACCTTGCTTTCTACGAAACCTTCTGGTCACGCGGCGGAAGCCTTGAGCCTATTTTCGAGAACCGCGTCACGTGTACACCGGCCACGTATCCACGCTCGCGAATACCAAATTCCTTCCCTCTCCCTCGCGCGAGCGAACTTTTTTTCCCGCGGCGAATTTACGTCCTCCTCGTGGAAAAGGCCGTCGAAGGCGACGCCGAACAAAAATCAGGCGAGTCGCCCGAATATTCGAGATCGGCTTCGCTCGAAAACTCCGGTCCCGTTCCGGACGCGACTTTCCCTCGCGCTTCATGCAAATGTCCTCCGCGCGAGTTGTCCACGGTTGTACACACGGAATATGAGATTTCACGTTGACACATCCGTATCAATGGATCGCGCGGATGTTCGAGCAAGGAACGAAGTCTCGCGTAGGAATATCTCTGCGAACGACTTCTCCGTGAGTCACTGTATCCCGATAAGCCGCCTCGAGTCGGTCGCGTTCAGCGAGCGATAGCAGACTTCGGGTCTCTCGTAGTACTCTAACGAATCTAATTAGTGGCCGTGGGAAGCTGAAACCGGTTCGGTCGCAGATTCATGTAAATGAAGCCATGTCTGTCGGAGTGACAATTTCTAGCTAACCTCAGACATTGGAGATTCCGTGGCGCTTTGGTTTCCGGGTGGTGCACGCCGAGATTGAACCTCCTTGGGACACGGGCTAGCATCGATTTGTCTTCTTGATGAAGCTAACTACAATGTTGGCGAAACGTCCGGACAGATGTGCCCCGTAAAACACGGTTCGACTGCCGAAGTAAAACGGCCGGCGCCGAACATCGTCGCGATTGTCTAGCTAACCTTGATCGTTGAAGGATATGTCGCACGTTAAGCGACGAGCCACCTAGATACGTCTAGCGATTTTCCTGCGGTCCGAAGGGGACGACGATGTTTCGGGTTAAAATGTCGGATCTGGTCGATCCAGGTCGTCGTAGAGTTTAGCTTACCAAATTGACTTCTCATCCACGGGTAAAGCGGGCTGGGCAGGTTCGCGCTGGCCGCGCCCTGAGGAGCGCCCTGCTGCTGCTGACTAAGCGGCGACGTGACGACCCCTTGGTGTTGCTGCGCTTGCTGCTGTTGCTGAGGATGCATGCCGGCCTGGGTCTGTTGCGCGGCCGCCTGCGCCGGCTGTTGCTGCTGGTACATCATGTGCTGTTGCTGGGTCTGTAGGTGCTGGTGTTGGGGTTGCTGCTGCGGGTGCTGAGTCTGCTGCGGCTGCATGTGAGGATGCTGGGAGTGCATCTGATGGTGCATCTGCGGCTCGACGAGCGGCGGGCTGTCCGGTCCATCGAGCACGCTACCCTGGTGATCGACCGCGGCCGCCTGAAGCTTGCAGCTCGCGTAGACAATGGGAGTGGACGGATGTCCGTTCGGTGTCGGCGTGTGTCCCATGTGTCCCATGCCGGGGCTCGGCGACGTCGACCTGTAGCCGCCCATGCCGTCGATGCTGCCGTGCTCCTGCTGGTGCTGGTAGTAGGTCGCGTTCCGCATGTCCATCCGATTGTACGGCGGAAACCTCGGGTAAGGCATGTCCTGCTGGCTGCCCGCGGCTCCATAATGGTGGCCGGGCACTGCTTGCCGGAGGAGGCTCGGGTCGCACGGGTCCCCGGCTTGCTGAGACTGCTGCTGAACCGACTGCGTCTGCTGGGGCACCTGGACGGCGGCACCGTAGTGCTGCTGATGCTGATGCGGGTGTTCCACCCCGCCATTTCGCAGGTCCGGGATGTATGAATTCGCGAAGTACGAACTCATGCTACTGTCCCACCTGTCCCACCTGCTAATGCCACCTCGATCTTGTTGGGTGCTTTCCGTGGTTTGTTCTTGATCCAGTATCTCTAATTTTCACCGACGCTCTCGGACCACTGTCCCCCTTTTAACTTTGTACTCTCTTTCCCCCTTTGTTCTGCACACTTTTCCCGTCTTCTTCGTCTTCGTCTTCGTCTTCGTTTCCCGCTGATTCTATACACCTTGTTCCTCGGTTACGGACACACACGTTTCGAAATGTATTATTATTTTTACATGTACTATGTATATTTTTATATTCACTTCCAGGGCGACTCCGAACACGCTCTCTTTCTCGCGTTCTTTCTCTCTTTCTTTTACTCACTCACTCTCACTCTCTCTCTCTCTTTCTCTTTCTCTCTTTCTTTCTTTCTTTCTTTCTCGCTCTCGCTCTCACCCTCTCGCTCTCTCGGACACGCGCACTATATTTTATCACACCACCATCACTGTGTAAACACTAGTGTATCATTGAATTCAATTTCCTTGTTGCTCGCTGTCGATTCCTCGACGTTATCACACTTACGGGCTCACCAAATCAGAAAGAAACAACCGGTTAACTGGAGCACTAAAGAACCGTACGTTATCAAGCCGCTGGCTTGAGGGGAGGGACGAGGTTTTAACTTGTACACGAGGGGGAGGGGGGGAGGGAAGAGATGGTAATCAGAGTTCTACGTCTTCTTCGGTGTGGTACCTTCGTTCAAAGCGCCAAGCCGCTCCAGACACGCTCCGTTCCTCTGTCCACCCTGCTAACGAAGTTGTGCCGCACCTGTAACAAGAACAACGGGAAACGTTAACAATCCGCGGACGACGCAACTGGGTTAACGATAAAATTATGTTAAAAATATCGTGATGAATCGATCGTTTGCTCCTCGACGTCGAATCGGACTGGTCGTTGATAACGATAAATAAATGAAGTAGCGGTGAAACCATCTACAAACTGTCGACTTCTAACAATTGCTGACAGAAGGAATAAGTTTGTACTTAACTTCGAATGCACGCCGAGCAATCTCTGCTCCGCAGAATTTATCAAACATTGATCCCGTTAACTTGTTCTGTCATACGATGCTCAGAAATTGTTGTACAAAATATCCCACATTTTTCTGCCGTTTTCACCGCGCACTTCAGTTCGACCAACTGTGTTTTATCCATGATTTAGACAAGTACTGAATTGTTTGGAAGCTTGCAAGCTACCGGCAGGATTTTCTGTGCACGACGAGATATGGTAACGGATGCACGATGCACTTGATCGATGTTCAATTACGACGACTGTGTAGAAAATTTTGCAGGCGAAATTTTCGACGAATTTTGCACCGCGAGCACGGAGACCGGCAAAAGATCCGTTTGCTGATCATTGCCGGACGAACTGAGCGAGCCGAGCTTGGTCCGACTCTGACAACAGTGACAGAAGGCGAGGTACACACGTGCTCGTCACGGTGACGGCCATCGCCCAGACGCCGAACTTGCTTTAGGCCTTCTGTGTGGGCGGGCTAAACGATCGTTAAATTTGGAAAAATTCCCGTCCATTAGGCAGCATGGCTACTGAACGCCTCGTCGGCATCCTCCCCGACCTACTAATTTTTTTGTCGCCCCGTTCCGAACGGGGTTTCCTCCGGGTCTCGTTAGTACGTAACCAGAAACACGCGAGTCTTTTTGTCTTCTGGCTAAGACTCGAGTTCCGAGAACGAGCAGAACACTCCGACGGGTCGCGTCGGTTCCGAAAGGAAACAGCGGTTTTCAGAGATTTAATTATAGTTCGAGAAGTTCCGGCTATAAGAATCGTTCGAATCTCGCGGAACACACGGACATCACGTGACGAGCTAGGTCGGACGAGATCCGTCGGTCTCTTATCGACCGCATCGATCCTTCGGGAACGATCTTTCGATCGCAGCCGGGAACCTTCCATACCGACTGCGCGTCACCCGGCAACTTTGGTTTCAACGCAGCGACTTGAGGACTTCGTTCAGACAGCAGACAGTCTGTGTACCGGTTGTTCCGTGCCAGTCGCCGGAACGGAGGAAACTTTGAGAAGATACCGCACGGTAAATTGGCCGTGAAACCTCCCTCTACGAGCCAGCGATGGCTTCGAGACCCTACGAGGTGTACAGGGCCGATGAAACAAATTCGAGCGTTCCCTGGCTCTTCGAAAACACTTGACGATCTCTAAAGCGATTTTATTTCCCTTCAAGTTGATTCATCCATTAAATGAACCCTTGACTCCTACCCTTATGAAATCTAGCAAGATTCGTGATGAATATTTCAAATAGAATCCACTGAATATGAGCATTGTTACAAAATATAGAAAATGTAATCAGCTTTGAAAGAATTGTTACGGTAAGGGGTTGAAGATTCCGTGTGAACTATTTTAAGTAAAAATAATCAGACGGAAACAGTTCGCCATCAAATATTTTTCTAATTTGGATTTCTTTTAATATTTCTTGTTAAATACAATAGTCTCATTTTCTGAAAATGTAACACGACATTAACCCTCCTCTGGCCCAAAAACTAGCAACAGTATCAACATCCAAAAATTCGAGAATACAATTTGAACATTCTAGAACATCGTTTCCTTTATTTGCACTCGATATCTCACTTCCAAGTACATTCAATTAATTGTCAATTTCATTCTCCTCGTGACAATATCACTTTTATTCAAAAACATGTAAAACGTTTCGACCCAGCGTAGCAAGGAGGGTTAATAAAAATTCTTATTCTTATTAAACTTATATTTTTCTTTTTGTAGAAAATTACGATTTACAGTCCCTGCGACTGCAAATTAATCTCATCGACAAATCTTTGATCCGCGATGCTATTGGAGCAAACGGGAGGGCAATATTCGTCGTCCCGATTTAAAAATTGAAACAAACAATGATCGTCCGAGAGAAAGCGACGTGGAATGGAGGGTGGCGTCCGTCGGAATCGGCGCGGATAAAAGAAAAAGTGCGGCCTCGAAACGAGGGAATAGAATGCACGGGTGCGACGGTATTGTGGGCAGCACGGTGGTCGTCGTTGGCTACGGTGGATAGAGCGAGACGTTGTGTGGGAAGAGGGCGCGGGGGCGGATGTACACGGATCGAAAGGGGGGGGAGGGAGGCTTCGGGTGGCAGGTTGAAGGGTTCGGGCGGAGGTGGGGCCCTTGGGAGTTTGCTGTACACGAGAATGGGTCGGACGCGGGACGATCGCGATTAACATTCCGGCCGCTAGCTCGCTGTTCGCGCGGCGCTTTCATTAATTCCAGCGTATTGATTCCCCGGATTGATGAATGGCCGCCGATAGCGATTCCATGCGCTCCGTAACTCCCGGCCCACCCCCGCCGCCGCCGCCGACGCCGCCGCCGCCGCGTGCGCGAGCCCCGGATCGCCGTATAAATTCTACCTCTCGCAGGATTTTAACTCAATTCCCGGTTTACGGACTCGCCTTTACCGTATTCTTTTCCCTCCCCCTTCCGCCCGAACCGAAACAGCCTTGTCCCCGCGAAACGTATGCTCCCTCTTATTTATTCAGCCCTCTCTCCTCCGCCGATGGAGATACAGGCTTATGGCTCGCTTCCATCGGGGAACCAAGCCGGAACCCTTCTTCCGTCCATACGGGCCCGTCTACCTTTCCTTTTCCTGCTTTTTCGTTCACCTGCTTCGCGCGGTTACGACATTTCGCGACGCGAAACGGCTACAGGACTACTCAAGCTCGGGGGGACGACGGTTTTATTGTTACGTTCGAAGGTCTCATTGCTCTTACTCTCACACTTGAAAAATAATTTTCAAGCCAATGGATTCGATTCAAAGAAATACGGAAGTTACGAGCAGGATTTTACGCATCCGTGACAGAATTAAGTAGTTGCAATTTAAAATGTTAGCGTATCATTTTTAATTAATTTCTATTTAGTTTCTCCTCCTTGCGGTCGACGAAGAAAAATTGTATCTTGCAAAATAATCCGCTGTCTAGTTACGAGACTGAACGCGACGCACGGTCTAGAAAAGTTGCAACGCGCATCGATTTTACATTCGCTCGGGGACCTTGGAAATTATTAAAATTTCGAGAGATTAATTTTTTACAATTAGTAGGCTCGAAAGTCTCATTCTTCGTGAACATTTTTAAACAAATTTTACTTAGGTATTCGCGCTGTTACGGAAGTTAATAATACAAGTTACAATACATGCACAATACGTATGTTACACGTCTCAGTGTAATCGTTAACGTCTGTGTTTCATTGTTCTCCTGGAATCATTTGTTCGCTCCTTTCTCCTCAATGGCATTTAATCGCAATTCCACGGCTGTCTTTCGCTAGAAAGAAAATGCCTGGGAAATGGTACGTTCAGAATTTTTCTGAGGAAAATGGAGTATAGGGTTTTCGATGATGCGACTGACTGTTGCGACCTTCTCTGGTGTATTCAAATTTTCCAAGGCCGCAACACAAGGTGGCACGGTCTTTGGCCGGTGGTGACACCGATCGGAAAAGACATAAACTAACTAGCCATTTAAAGGTCTAAGGAGTTGGTGTTATTGCCGACAGATGGCGATAGCGATAGCCGAAAGAAGTGGAAAAAACGGGGTGGAGCGTGTCTGACAGCTGGGTGGGTTCGGGGCCAAGGTGATTGAAAACAGGGTGGAGCGTCACGTGACGCCATAGCTGGATATGGAAGTGACGTCAGGCAGCTATGATGGCCTCTAGTTAACAAAATGGCTCCTCCCTGGGATTTCTTTGCCTCTCGTTCCTAGCTCGCCTTTGCGACTACCTGAGGAAGACTGAAATTCTCAGACTGAAATTCTCCAGAACAGAACTTCCCCAATTTAATATCCACAATATACTCGACCTTTTCAAAATATTTAAATTACAAAAGCATCATTTCCGAATAATTAAAAAATCGAACATCTTCTCGTAGTAGATAAAAGGTGAAGAAGCTCCGAAACTGTAGCGGAAATAAAAGTCGAATAATTTTTCCAGGAAACACGGGGAAATTTGAAAATGTAATAAATTGTAAATTTGATCTTTCGCAGCTAAAATAAAAGCTTCCAGTTGTCCACGCAGAATAAAAACGGATGAAGCTTACAATGTAGTGTATTCAATCACCACGCTACAAGGCAAATTTATTTGAAAAGCCCCGATATTTATGATATATGAAAGAACCGTTCCGCAAACAATTGACCGGTCAAATTGTTATAGATTTATCAGATTATCCTCACTGTCGCTTACAAAAATAACCGCTTTCAATTCTCCGCGGAGCGATATATTAACACAGAATATTTATATTAGAACTTAAAAACCGTATTTGTTCACTACAGCAGCATTGAATCGCGCGAACAATAATTTCGAAAGCACGCGCGTTAAAACGAAAACCGTTCGATGTCCATTTGACATTTGTCGCCGCATTAAAGAATCGATAACAACGAATCGCGCCGCGCGATCGATTCGGAATTCACGTCGGAAATCGGAAGCAAAAAAAGAAAAAACAAACAAACACGACCGAGATATTTTGCGAGGGTCATAAACGGCGCCGGCGAATTTGCATACGGCCATCGTGTTCCTCGCGATAAACTAATGGACGCTAATCAAGAGACAAACCGTCGTCGGCGCGGTAGGTAATCGAAGAGCCGCGGAAGCCCCGAAGTGCCGTCGAACGGAGCAGATGAAATGGCCCGATTATGTAAACGGGGGCGATATCACGGCCAGCCGGTCTACTAAAAATTGTTGGCTCGTAAATGGTGGCAGGATTTGACGTTTATGGGGCCCGTAGCTCGTGCCAGCCGTTCGCACGCCGTAAAACACTCGTA